GGGGGGGGGGGGGGGGAGGAAGAAAGCACTATATTAGCTATAATATAATTGTAAATAAAATAAGTATCATAAAAGAGATACACAAAACTATAAAAGAGAAAAAATGATTTGGGGGAAATCGGTGGACTTTGATTTATGGTCAGGATTAAGAAAATATCTGCTCTAGCTCAAGAAGTAACAAAGACAATCAATACAGTTCTCCTTTCTCTGAAGAAAATCAGCCTCACTTGGCAGGACCTGATTCCAAACACCAAGGATACTTAACAGAGTAAAGCAAATGACCTGATTTATCCTGACCAACTGCTTATGGACTTTTCTCACTTCCCTAGAATGTCCCGTCAGTAATCCCAGCTTCTAGCCTCTCCCAGTTTGTAATCAACACGCATCTCTTTCTCCTTCTTGGGGGAATTAAAAAGTCAATTTGCTGGAAAAGGGTGGGAAACTCTATCAACATAAAGACAATTTAAAACTGAGATCAACTTAAAACACTTTAGATACCCTGCTCCAAAGTTGAATTGTGAAACTGCAGATCTGCTAGTATTCAGAAGCATGAACCTAATAGTTCGAAAGGCAGTGGGTTTCTAAATTCTGCAGCTTAAATTTGGAGTTTTAATTATATGATTGATGCTTAAATTAATTAATTGCAAAGTGTATGCTAATTGTTTAATTGGTTGCTTGATCTATATAGATCATTTTTTGAATTAAATGAGTTGATTTACAAAGTTTATTGATTGGATGTGACAATGAATTATTTCACTGACTACCTGATTTGCAATTTTCCCAATTAATTCACAAATCCTTTGCCGCAATTCTGCTTACTGAGAGAGAGCCTACTTCAGGTGATCTATACTCAGTCTGTCACGATTAAGAGATATTTATTATATAAAACAGGTAATAAGGACAGATTAAAATTAATGGGAACTGTAAATCTGCTAAATGGATGGATAACAAGAAAGTAATCTGGCTATGTTTGTCACTATAAATTTCCTGTATTTGCAATGCTGTTCATTTAAAATTCATCTCTGAATGGTCTGGGAAACTTACAGATCTTTGCAAGAGGTTAACAAACACAAAACATGTGCAGAAGCAGAAGAAAGCCATTCAGATGAAGAAAATGTCCTGGTGGAGGACCTATGAGCTTTGTGTCCAGGAAGACCTGAGTTCAACCCTAGCTCCATCACTCATGGGCTCTGTGGTTTCAGAGAACAAGCTTCACCTCCGTGAGTTTCAGTTTCAACTTCTATAAAAAGGGTATAATCGCCTAACTCAGGGGTGGTTGTGAGGATTAGATGAGATAATATATAGTGCTGAGCATAGAACAGAGGTAAAAAAAAAAAAAAGGTATGATAACTATAAAAAGTCAGATGGAAAATAACTTTGACAGTAATGTCAATCCTTAAAGATAAACTGTGTGGATAGATACTAGCCAGAAAACAACAATGAAACTGAGTCCTATGTGCACACATCTGTAGCCGGAGTTAACATGTCCACTGTGCTCCAGCCTTGGGGCCACTGAGCCTCCGGGATTTTATGACCAGGGCAGACACTGATGAAGCAAGCAATGGACAGCCCAGATTATTTATTGCTGTGTAAATTATCCTGAGGAATGCCTGTGATTCCCCAGCATCACAGAGGTTTCAAGGGCAAATAATAAGCCTATTGATCAAAGCAGAAAGCCAAGCACTGGTATCAGAAGAATTCTGCTTTGATTGTCATGGGAGGCCCACAAATCCCCTCAAAACAAACTCAACAAATGTCACAGGCTTAGATCTGAGAGCCAAAAGACTCACTGCCAAGTGCTGTTATTCTTCCCAGTTCTAAATACAAGGTGTGAAATCACTTATTGTTTCAAAAACACATTTGCCTAGTGCCTGCCCAGTGCTGCTGCCTGACCTGACACTGGGAACCCAGCAAGGAGAAGAATAACTGGCTCACTGTGTATTTTACAAAACTTCGGGAAGTCTTTTCTGGTTTATCAGTAAAGTTTAGCAGCAAACAGTGCTCCAAACCCTAAAACCTCTTAATTGAATGCCTAAGAAAGAAAAAAAAGACTGAAATTCCATATTCTGTGTATGGTCATAGTGGTTCTTTTGTGCCTTTATACAAGAATGATTAATGAAAAAGCTACTGTGGTATTTTGACTTCTAAACTGCTTCAGGACTCCAAATTAGTACTAGTACAATAACCATTAGTATCATTAGCTACATCTATTGCGTGCTAAGTGCCAGGAATTGTGCACAGTGGTTTAGACACATAAGCTCACTGAATCTTCATAGCAGCTACGTCACATTGTTATGTGTGTGTGTTTACAAATGAGAAAACTGAGGCTCAGCGAGGTAAGTGGTTTGCTCAAGATTAAAGAGAGTGAGAGTCAAACCCAAGTAGTCAAGAACCCTCACTCCTGACCCCCACCTATCTCTCTGCCAAAGCCATGGTGTGTTCCTATGGAAATGTGCCATACTTTGAAAAGGAGGAGGAAACCACGTGCATTATAAAAAATTAGAAGCGTAGAGATATTTATTTCAACCTCCTTGCTGTTACAGCTGGGAAATAGATGCCTAGAAAAGAGGAATAAGATGGTCGGGATCACCCAATTAAATAGGGCCAAAGCCAGGTCTAGAGAACTCCGGTCTCCTTGCTTCCGTTCCATTACTCTTTGATCAAATCAGAAATTGGTGGCATTGTGAAGTGGGGAGGGGAACAAAGGGGGGCAGCTGTGGTCTCTGACTCAGGAATTCCCCAAATATAGACATCTGGGACTTATAAAACAGTGAGAACAGGGGTGCCTCCTTATGACATAGTTCAGTGGAATGAAGAGAGGTTTTGCAGTCAGATCTGGTTTCAATGCTAACTCAACCATTAACCAGCTGTGTGACCAAATCTCTCTGAGTTCCATTTTCTTATCTATAAAAAGCTTTCATTGATTTCTCTAGGAGAATCATTTGGAAAAGTGATTCTCCTCTGTGGTCTTCCAGAACTTGGTTGATATTTCTGCGTATACCATTGCTCCTTTTATTATTTATGCATCTATGTTCTCCTAAAGAGCAGGATCCTATTGTCCCTGCATCCTCACTGAAGAGTAAGTGGCCGGCATTTAGAAAGTACTTAACAAATATTTGTTGAATGAATGAATATATGAATGTGTAGCCTGAATCACACTGTACCCATAAAAAAAGCCATAATGGGTATTGTTATTATTTTTTCATTCTCACCCAAGGATATGTTTTTTTAATTCATTTTAGTGAGAAAGGGAGAGAAACATCAATGTGTGAGAGAAACATTGATCAAATTAATAGGCAGAAGACCAAACTCAGGCTGCCCCTCCTCCTCCTTCTCACACACCAAAAAAAAACACACACAACAAACAAAACCCACTCTTCCAATGCTCCCTATATCAGTGAAGGGCACAACATACAAAGTTGTGCAAATCAGAAATCTTTGATACCTCTCCTTTCCCACACTTCCCGTATCTAACTCATTCCTAAGTCATGTGAATGTTTATCTCTTAAATTTCCAGAATCTGTCCCTTTCTCTCAATCTCCACTGTGGCCCCTGCCTACTTCTCGGTCTCTTTCCACTCCACTTTCTCTTCCCTTCTTTGTGCTCTGGCCGCACTGGCCTTCTTTAGTTCCCTGACCACAACATGCTCCCTCCGGCCGCAGCATCCCTGCCATGTGGTTCCATCTGCCAGGACCTTCCCCTCCAAATGCCTCTGGTGTCACCTTCTTGGGGAATTTCTCCCTAACGCAACTCCCAGGCTGGACTCTCATAAACAGCATTCCTTTCCTTTAGAGCACTTAGCTCAGTTTTTAAACAAACCTTATTTGGTTTAACTTTTTAAATTTTCTGCCCATTTCCTTCACTAGACTGTGGAACTCATGACAGAGAGCCCACATGTGGTTCCATGAACCACTGTATACTCAGCAAAGTGCCTGGTATACCGTAAAGCAAACACTCAATAAATATTTATTGTATACAATGACAAGTGAAATGAGTCAGTTACAAAGTGCTAATACATTTGATAATTTCTTCTTCCCCACGAAACTATGAATTTTTAGGGGGAATAATTAGATTTCTCTTGTACATTTTATCCTCAATACCTACACCCCAGAACTCCATAAATATTTCCTGAATGAAGGAATGACTGAGGAGTTAAGCCTTCAAGATTAAGCAGGATATCAAGAAGAATGAGAGAGGCATTCCTGACTAAGGAAACAGCAAAAGCAGGCATGGTATCAGTGTTGAGAAGATGCCATTTAAAGAATGTGATACATTAGGATGCATGGGAGTATAGCTGGGGGGTCAGAATGGAGGTTAGGCTGTATTATTTAGGTAAATGATTCCCAATGATGACCCTAAGGAATATAAATTAGAAACAAAAACCTACAAATGGGAGAAGAGTAGATAGAGATGGGCAGGTAGACAATAACGGGAAGGAAGAGGTAGACAAGGAAGGAAGGAAGGAAGGAAGGAAGGAAGGAAAGAAGAAAGAAGGAAGGAGGGAAGGGAGGGAATTCTAACTGCAAAGTTGTCGGAAAGCATATAAGATCAAATATTCCTATATACTTTCATGGCAAAGCACAATTACTTGCATCATCAGGGAAGGCTAAATTATGCTACTGTTGCTGAACTACCACTAGTTTGGTTTGTAGTAATAGATGGTTATAGTTACAGTATTTATCAGCAACAGAAATGAACATTTACTGAGCACTTCCCATGTATTTTCTTAATTTTATTTTCATAACTACCCCCTATTAGGAAGTTTCTATTCTTATTTTACATATGAAACCTGGAGCACATGGGGTTGAAGTGATTCATCCAAAACCAGCCTGATAAGGTATTCACGCCAGAATTCAAATCCAGACTATGGCTTTGGATCCCCCACTCAACCACTATGTTATATGCTGATTAAGAAGGCAGAGGAAAATGTTAATACATTTTTAGAGCAGTGGTCGCCAACCGGTGGTCCGCGGACCACTGGTGGTCTGTGAGGTCCAAAAGGTTGGCGACCGCTGTTTTAGAGAGCTTCTATGAAAAACTATTAAAATTAAGAAAGTTTGATACTAAAGGAGATAAACCCTCAACTATCTACAAAACCCACCAAGTTTCCCAAGGGCTCTAGATAGCTGAGGTTACATTAGAATGAAGTGGATCTGTAGTGAACTCCATTGCACGGTGAAACCATGTCTTTATATATTCTAGAGTTGCACTTCCCAACATCTGGCTACTGAGCACATGAAATGTGGCTAGCCTGAATGGAGATGTGCTGTAAATAGCAAATAAACACAAGATGTCAAGCATGTGAAAAGATGCTCAACATCATCTCATTAGGGAGTTGCACATTAAAACAACAATGTGATACCACTGCACACCTATTAGAATAGCTCAAATCCAAACCATTTACAAAACCAACTGCTAGTGAGGATGTGGAGCAAGAACTCCCATGCATTGTTGATGGAAATGCCAAATGGTATAACTATTTTGGAAGACAGTTTGCAATTTCTTAAGAAAGCTAAACATAGGCTTACCATACAATCCAGCAATTGCACTCCTAGGTATTGGCAAAATGAATGGGAAACTTATGTCCACACAAAAACCTGCACATGAAAGTTTACAGCAGCTCTAATAACTAGAGGCCTGGTGCACAAAATTTGTGTATGGGTAGGGCCCCTAGGCCTGGTGGGTGAACAGGGCCGATCTATGGGGCGACTGGCAGGGTGATCAGGGAGCCCCCGCTACCCACACAAAAACCTGCACATGAAAGTTTACAGCAGCTCTAATAACTAGAGGCCTGGTGCACGAAATTTGTGTACGGGTAGGGCCCCTAGGTCTGGCGGGTGAATTACCGTTCGGTTGATTTCCATATTAGGCTTTTATTATATAGTACTAGAGGCCCAGTGCATCCCTCGGCCTGGCCTGCACCCTCTCGCAATCTGGGACCCCTCGGGGGATGTTGGACTGCCAGTTTCGGTCCTGTCCGCGCATCATAGCAACCAGTCGTTCCACCATTCGGTTGATTTCCATATTAGGCTTTTATTATATAGTATTCCCACAAACTGGAAGTAATCAAGCTGAACTTCAATAGGTGAATGGAAAAACAAACAGTGGTGACTGCCAGTTTCGGTCCTGTCCCCTGAAGGCCAGGCCAAGGGACCCCACTGGTGCACAAATCTGTGCACCAGGCCTCTAGTGTGCATATAAGATCTTTGATTAATCTCTTCCCACCCTCCCCCTCTCCCCTTCCCTCTGAGATTCATTAGTCTGTTCCATGTTTTCATGCCTGTGCGTTGAGCGTCTACCCCCTGGTGGTCATTATGTGTCATAGCTAATGGTCGAATGGTTAGGCTTTTATATATATAGATTCCCACAAACTGGAAGTAATCAAGCAGAACTTCAATAGGTGAATGGAAAAACCAACAGTGGCACATCCATACAATGGAATATTATTCAGCAATATAAAGAAATGAGCTATGAAGCCATGAAAAGACACAAAGGAACCTTGAAATGCATATTACTTAGTGAAAGAGCCAGTCTGAAAAGGCTACAAATAGTATGATTCTAACTAGCTGACATTCTAGAAAATGCAAAACGATAGGAGCAGCAAAAAAATGAGTGGTTGCCAGAGTTGAGGGGGGCTGGATAAAGAGATGGAGCACGGAGCATTATTAGGTCAGTGAAACCATTCTACATGATACAATCTTACAACGAGTGCACTCTAATGTAAATGACTGACTTTAGTTAATAATAATGTATCAATACTGGTTCATTGATTGTAACAAATGTATCACACTAATATAAATCGTTAATAAAAAGGAAAGATGAGAGGCAGGAAGTAGATATGTGGGAACTCTATACTTTCTGTGCAATTTTTCTATAAACCTAAAACTACTCTAAAAAAATAAAGTCTATTAAAAATGTTTTAAAATCTTACAGGTAACCAGCCTTCAAAATTACATAAAAAACAGAGCCACTTGATTCACATGAAGCCAACATATCACTGGCTACAATAAATGTTAGTAAGATAAACTTCCCTATGAAAAGACATTGACTTAAATTGGGTCAAAAGAGAAAACCCTCACAAAATTATTCATCATATCTAAACCTAAAAAGCTGAACAAAGATATATTACACTAGACTAGTGCAAAGAAGAACAAGGGGGGAAAGCTAATTGTACTGCAATAAAGAAAAAAAAGGGGGGGAACAGGCCACAATACAAAAATAAAACAGGGCTGTTTTATATTGAAAAAAAGTATAACTCACAGTAAAGATATGAAATGCATGAATCTTTTTGTGCACTGACATATACAAAATGGAAACTGCTGAAATCTCAGGAGAAATTGACAGAAGCATACAACAAAATGGAAACTTTAATCCATTTCTCTTAATCATCCATAGATGAAATAGTTAAAAGATGCAAGAACATGATAGTAATTAAAGATGCTGATTTAATAAATATATATTGAATTCTGTAACCTATACAGAATAATTGTTTCCAGAATCCATAAAATACTTATAAAAATTTATTGTATAGTAAGCTGCAAAATATAAATAAACCTCTAAGCAGAAATTTTATACGCCATATTTTCTGATCAAAATTCAATAAACATGAATCTATATAACAAAGTCTAAATTCAAAAATTCTTCCAAATAGATAGTTTCCCCTAAAAATCACTGCATCAAAATAAGTAGGATAATAAATACCACATTCCAATTTTGCTCAAGAGCTAACAAAGGAAGCCAAGAATTCCAGCTAAATTCTCCATTCCTTCCCTGCGGCCAAAGCCTACTACCATAAACAGTTTACAAGGCAGAGACAAGAGAACAATGTTCTTAAATAAATGGTTTTCTTGACGACCAAAATGAAATGAGAGGAAGGGTTCTTTCCCATGCATCTAGCAATTTGGTCCCCAGTGAATGAAGAGCTCCTCCAAAGGGCCAACCCACTGGAAAGATCAAATAAGGACCTATTCCCACACCTAAGTTCAAATAAGCTAGAAAGAAAACACTTGCCTCACTGATAAGAAGAGACCCCAGGGATTTACTTTAGAGATTGTCTTATACAAAACACAACAGAGAAATCCATGTAAGAATTGTAAAAAATTTGTCCTGTAAGAATTGTAAAACATTTCAAAAGACCATAGTTTCTTTAACTTCAATACAATATAATTCTGTAATTCAAATTATAGTTATAGAGCAACTATTTAAAAAATGTCAACACGCTTGATATACTTCAGGAATATAAATTTTAATAAGATGTACTCAATTGCAGAGGCTTACAAACTATTACAAGAGATAGTCTCTATTTTGGGGGTTCAGAATTGCTAATTATATTCGTTGATCTTCCTTTTCCTCATTAATATCTGGTTTGCTTCATTTACTGCTTTCTAATAGGAATATATTGAAATTTCCCAGTTTGACTGTGGATGAGTTAATGCCTCTTTAAAACTCCCTTAAAATAGGTTAGACTATGTTGCTAGATACATACACAGTCAGAATTATTATATCTTGATGGGCTGCTCCTTTTCATTATGTAATCTACCAAAATATCCCTATTGACATGTTTTTGCCTTAAATTCTACTGTTTGATGCACTGCCATGGCCCATTCTCTCTAGATAAGAAATTTAAGTAGGGGAGAACCAATGCAGCAAAGCACTTTCAAGTTCAAGCTATGATGTACAAGCACAGAGACTCTACATTCAAGCTCTACATTTTAAAAATAATTATTTAATGAGGAATAGAGTCTAGTGACTGAGAGAAAAACTGAGCCAACGACTGGCAACAAAGAGAACTAATTCAGACCAAAGGAAATAATGCAAAAGCCTTGGCACTGAACAGACCAGGAATGAAATCCTGACTCTGCCATATCCCACTGGTGTAACCTGAAGCAAGTAACAATTCTCCTTTGCAGAATGAGGGTCATAATGCTCACCTCACAGGGAGCTAGGAGAATTCAGTGAGAAATCAGGTACGAAACGCCCAGCATGGTCCCAACTCATGGTAGGTACTTAATAAACATTAGTTCCCTCCCACTAACTCCCATGCCACATTTATCAGCAAGCCTCATAAAAGGGTTTGAAATTGCAACATGCATTTTCCTCAAGTCTGGATTCACAAACTTATCAGTGTATTTACAAGCAGATTCTGAGATGAGCCTGAGATACACAGGTCCAAGATCTGGTGAGCAACCTGACCTACATTAGTGTGGACGCCTGCTTCCCAGGCCAATGCCTAGAAACACTGGGCCCGAATGCAGGATGGGTGGCCAGGAGACAGCCAGAAACTAGAGCAGCCAAAAAAGAGGAAGGATTACTTGAGCTTCGGCTCCCGTCCTTCGCTTGTGTACTGCCAACAGATGAGCCCGATCAGGTCCTGCACCCTGGCGCTGGCCATTGTCACCACGGTCATTGGCAGCAGTCTGTCCTGGCTGGAGTGTAAGGGGAGGTAGACATCGATCTTCTTGGTGGCTGTTGTGCCTACATGACCCTGTGGACAGAACACATGCACGAGGGTAAGGCACACACTCACGGTCATGCAGACCCACCGGGCCACAACTACTGCTCTCCAGGCCTGTGTGCAGCACAGCCATCTCTGATCCTTTTTGCACAGACCTGCTAATGAGCCTGGAAAGGTCCCCCACGTGGAAATATTGTCTAGTTTTAAGGTTTTTTCCTTTAATATTCATTTTCTAACGGTCTAATTGATCCAATTTTGCCAGCAGTAAGATAAATGAGTGCTACAATTAAAACCAACAAATCAGAATGGTGAGCAGATCTGATGTTTAGTGGCAGGAGACTTGCTTTGCTACTTATTCAGTGTGACCTTGGAAAAGTCACCCTTAGACCTTGGCATCAGCTGCCCTCCCTGAAAATCGCGGTCTCACTCCTTGAGACCTTGGGAAAAGCTACATGGGAAGCTGCCACACTTTCTGAAGAAGCTTTTAGGCCTGTAGCACTGGATCAAAGGGCTTGCCTTCTCAGAGACTATGGGAGGCTAATTCCATTGTGTAGTACATCTGTTTACTTCAGTCATCTGCTATGAAGTTCAAGGGTCCCTGGTCTACCATTTTTGCCCTAACCATCATACCTCACTGCCAATCCCTCCCAAATACCTACTCCTTCTCCCTCCCAAACCTCTCACTCCCCTTTGGAACTCCAGCACTAATTAAACGTTCCCTCCAGCCATGGCCAGTGTGGCTCAATTGGTTGAAGGCTCAGGTGATATGACACCTCCTCAGAGAAACCTTTACTGATAATTCTATAGAAAGAAACCGCCCTGCCGGTGTGGCTCAGTGGTTGAGTGTTGACCCCTGAACCAAGAGGCCACTGGTTCTACTCCCGGTCAGGGCACATGCCCGGGTTTCAGGCTCAGTCACCAGTAGGGGGGACATGGAAGAGGCAGCCAATCGATGTTTCTATCTCTCTCTCCTTCTCCCTCCCTCTCTAAAAATCAATTAAAAAAAAATATTATAAAAAAAGAAAGAAGCCCTGACCACAGTTATTCTCACATATATCCTGTTCATTTTCTTCATAGCACTTAATAATTTTACATTATGTATTTGTTCATGTACATCCTTAGTGTATGCCTTCTCCACTAGCCTCTGAGTTCCATGAGGGCATCTATAATAATGTCTGCTTTGTTTACTGCTCTATACACAATGGCTAGCACTGTGCCTGGTGCATAAAAGACTCTCTCCCCAAAAATCTGTTGAACTACAAAATGAATGCATAAATAACCTAAATGACTGCCAAGATACAAGATAGAAACTCAATAAATGCTAGTTTCCTCCATCCACCTCTCTTGCCTTTCCTCTAAGGGTCTATTTCCTGGAGGAGCATGGAAAATGGAGGTACCTGACCAACCAAGTGTTTCCAGCTTTAACACTATAATTTTATCATTCTAAGGCAGAAAAAAAAAAGATCAGAACTAAGATAAGGAAATACATAAAATCAGTTTAAAAACATTTGAAGAGTAATTCCAAATCTCTTATAACCCAGCATCTAATATTAGATCCACTGATTTTTTTTTTACTGAATCTTATCTCTATGTTATAAAGCAAATAATAAAAAAGCAATTCTCTTACATAATGCATGCTCTCTCTCTCGCTCTCTTATGTGTACATACACATGCACACACTCACACCCATGCATGTTTTTCAGCCTGAAATAATTACAACTCTAAACTGCAATTGTTTGGCCTTGTCAGGCAGTTAAAGGGTTAAAATTAAAACAAGGGCAAGCTTTCTGGAGTGGATTTGTCACCCCCTTATCATTCTTCTCAATCTCCTTTTCACACCCCGCCCAGTTCATTGTCCTTGCAATTCCTTCTTATTTCCTTCATTCCTACTCCTTCCTCTGAAGAACTAGAGCTGATGGGGCTATAGGAATAACAATATCTCAAAATAGGAAGATTCAATGAGATGACCAATGTGAATGTGCTTCACAAACTGTAAAGTGCTTTAGAAATGCAGAGTAGTATGCTAAAAAGGGCCTACGTTTTAAAATCAGACCCATTTCTATTACTCAAGCCTACAAGGTTATATGAGACCAAAGGTGGATGCTATAGGAGCCCTAATAATGTGTTATTATTATAACATGTTTCTAACTATCTATCTCTCTCCCTTTCTCTCTGTAAAAAAAATCAATAAAATATATTTTAAAAAAAAATAAAAAAAAAAATAAAATCAGACCCATTTCTATTACTCAAACCTATTACAAGGTTATATCAGACCAAAGATGGATGCTACAGGAGCCCTAATAATATGTTATTATTATAACAAGAACTGATATTTATAGCTGTTAAATCAATTCTGCAAAATGTTTGCCTAAATTACCTCATTTAACTCTCACAATCACTATAAGAGGTAGGGTTCTATCATGACCCTCATATTATAGACTAGAGGCCCGGGGCACAAAAATTTGTGGACTGGGGGGGGGGGCCCTTTTTTTTTTTGGGGGATGTCCACCTGCTAGCTTAGGCCCGCTCCCCCAGGGAGTCAGACAGTCAGACATCCCTCTGGAAGCCTGGGAGCCCTCGGGGGATGTCCACTTGCCAGGGGGAGCAGGCCTAAGCTGCAGTCGGACATCCTTAGCACTGCTGAGGAGGTGGGAGAGACTCCCACCACCACCGCTGTACTGGCAGCCGTCAGCCTGGCTTGTGGCTGAGCAGAGCTCCCCCTGTGGGAGCGCACTGACCACCAGGGGGAAGCTCCTGCATTGAGCGTCTGCCCCCTGGTGGTCAGTGTGTGTCATAGTGACCAGTCATTCCCAGTTGTTCTGTTGTTAGGGTCAATTTGCATATTACCCTTTTATTATATAGGATGAGAAAACTAAGGTGTATAAGGCTACAGGCATCTACTCAAGATCCCATAACCAAGGTGGAGGAGGCAGAATTCAAACCCGGGTCTGTTTGACTCCAAAGCCCCTACTTCCAACATCAATGCCTTCTTTCCCTACAGTCATTCTAAACTAAATCAATTCCCACTTTCAAAGGTTTGGAAATCATCTCACCTCTGCTCACAATGAACCAGAAATGCCGCCTAGAGCAGTCTCCTATGGTGGGAACTAGCTCTGAGGAGCCAGCCAAGAACTGTTAGGAGATTGAGACTCCAGAGAACATCTCTATTTTAAGTTGACTAAGGGCACTATTGTTAAGGAATGATACTCCTATGAATCCCTTTATCCTCTTTATTTCACAGTGAAATAGCAAGTGTGGGGCAAACTATGAGAATAAATATGGTGGATGCTTATTAAATGAAAAAAGTGCTTTATCTTTTTAAGTCTCCTAATTCCATCTTGAGGCACTGATGACGGGAACGAGTGCCTTGCACACACATTGAAATTACATATTTTTTAATAAGGAGCCTCTACTGAAAAACTCAAGGCGGTGGCAGTTAGCTCTATCTAATAGTCCCTGTGTTGCAACATTTAGAGGGCATCATCTAAAATATAAAACAATCCATCAACATAATAGAAAGTAATTAACTTATTAAAAAAGAATAAGGTGACCAAAGGATTAAAAGTATTCATCACCCATCAAGGCAAGCAATATTTCAAAGACCCAACATCTTACTATTAAAAAGCAACTAGCAATCATAGTTTCACTGCATGGCAATTTATGTTTCCACAATATGGAATTAGGTAAATGGAGGTATAATTAGAGCATAAGGGGTCAACATAGAGAGAGGGAAAACTGGTTTAGTGCCATCTTTCTCAGTCACTCATGCATTCAACAAACACCCACTGAAACGCCATGCTGGGCTCTGAAGACAAAATCAAGTGAGACGCAATGCAGATCCTCATCAAATTCACCGTATGCTGGAGGTCTGCATTGTACAACGTAATAAAAAGCTTCAAGAGGGGGAAGGCTGTCGTGTGAGCTCAGAAGCAACCCAGACTAATGGGGGCCTCCCTCCTAGATAAAAAGAATTTGCCCTTCCATCTAATAGAACCACTAACCCAGGAAAAATGCTACTATACTTAAATACCAACTATACCTATATACAAAAAGTGAATTGAGTTTTTCTGAGACATGGGATTATGAGTGATTTTAATTTTCTGCTTTATATTTTTCTGCATTTTATATAATGAGCATGTATTATTTTTATAATTAGAGACAAAACAGTAAATATTATAATTATGAACAGAAGAGGCGATAAAAAGAACTACCACAGACGGCTTAAGAGTGTTAAGAGAAAGGATCAATTTTGAAAATGGAGCCTCTGTTAAGGCATCCAGCATGATTTATTAAGAACACACTAGGTGCCAGGTATTGTGACAGGCTGTTGAAAAAAATGTTTTAAAATGTAATTCAGACACCTTCCTATGGCAGGTTAAGTGATTTTTATCAAAGAAAATAAAAATTAATAAACCCGAAAAGAGCTGACAAACTTGGATTTGAACAACTCTCTCCATGAGCAGCCCCTAATCAGGAAATGCCCCAAATTCAGGTTTTAAAACAAAAAAATATGTATTCCCTGTAGCAAAACTATTCCTCAACACAAATGCAATTTATGAAGATCAGCTATACTCCAGAGTTCATATCACATGGCCTCTCCATGACTTGATGGCTCTGCAAATGCAGCCAAATCTCAAACTCAACATGTCCAAGACCTATTTTCTTCTTCATCACTCGTCTCTCAATCAATATTCCATCTCAGTGAAGGCTTTCACCACCTACTCTGGCACTCAATCTAGGAAACTTAACTCCTTTCTGTCTCATCTACATCCAAATGCCTCTGAAACATCTCTCAAATCTTTCTCCTCACTGTGCTGCCCTAGTTCATTGCTAGAGTATATTGAGCGGTAGTTAAGAGTACAGATTTGGGGTCAGCCAGATCCAGGTTTGAACCCAGACTCTGCCACTTCTTTAGCTGCTAGACCTTAGATGTTGGATAACTAACTACACCTCTCAGAACTTCCATTTCCTTACTTGGAAAGTAATTAAGATGAATATAAAATGCCTGGTACATAGTCACTGATTTTTCA